CTTGCTAAAAGAGGTTATGAAAACTATGTAAAACCATGGTCTCAATACGCAAACTTCGCCCATGACGTCACAGAACAGCTGAACAGACCCTAGTGTTCATCCTTCGAAGGAAGCCTGCGAATTTCAATAGCGCTCCTTCATTTAAGTCTCTAGATGTTTGTTACAGGAAAACCGAAATTGCACTTTTGAAAAGGAATATGATCCAAACTGGAAGGTTCATGTGAGCACAATTGAGAGCACATAGGTTAACCCAGCAGAGCAAAATCAACAGGATACCTTGAATATCAACAGGATACCTTGAATACAAAGTCTTGCCCAAACGAGGCGAATATGGGCTGCACACCTAATTAGTCAACCAAAATGAAATAAGCGCACTGACGTCACATAGAGCTGCAGCTTCCAACAGTGGTTCCGACTGGAAAACATGGTGACGGTCCGCTGTCAATCACATGTTTGGCACGGGAAAGCCCAGTGCCATAACTCGTCCATTTCGCCGCACGCGGCGAACAGCTGAACGAGAGCGGTTGGGTCCGCACACTGCGAAGATTTTTGGGGTTGATGGCCATTTAGTGGTTGCGTTACTTTTGGGAAGCAAGATTGGTTGCTTATTGTGTTTCAAGGGACGATAAACTGAACAGATCATATGAAAGAAGCGGCTACTCTCGGGGTTCATGAGATCGGGAAAAGGCAGATTTCTGTTTCACTTATTCTACCTATAGCGAGTGGTTGCCAGGATTCTCCTGATCATGAACACTCCCCTCGGTGAAGAAGGTTGTTCCAAGCTTAAAGGTATTCTGGTGTAGTGCTAAATTTCTGTCTCGTACATCTCGGCCAGCTTTTTATAGCCCATGATTCGAAGACTCGTCGAGTTCGATGAAAAGACTGTGTACGTATCGACCACAAGACTCGCTCAATAGTTGAAATATCTCAGAGAACGAGCAAGTTAATCAATGTGCACCTTCTTTCGGCGAAATCTACGAATCGCCGAATCGCTGAATCTCCATATCGTCACCTATTTAATGCTCCCAGAAGATTCCCGAGGCTTACCCGAAACATGAGCCATAAAGTTTGCCATACGTACGTCACGCGAATCTTGAAGACCTTATTGCGAGTGCGCTCCGATGACTTGTGTACTCACAGCCGCCGCGCGCGTCAGTTTAGGACGAGTTTCGCACTGTGTGATATCTTCACGCGCGACAAAGGAAACCGGTTGAAGCCTTGTCAGTGTACGTGTGGTTATCGGTGCCCTAGTCCGCTATTGATTCTCGGTGCTTCTCGAGGCGATTTTAGGATGTCGCTTTCAACAGGTTCTATCCCCTCATTCAAGGAACGTCGTCCTTTCCGTGAGTTTTGTTAGGAAATCAATATCGAATCAATGTATAATGTAATTTCGGTCTGTGTTGTGGCTATATTGAGATGTTCCGTCCGTTTTCAACGGCAGTTCCTTGAAATAAATTTGTATTAGTAGCAAAATCGAAAAAACTGTGAATGCTATGCGTGAATTTCTTTCATATGTGTACTCCTAGTTAACTACCGAGTGACTGTGATGTATGCGTGAATTTCTTTACATGTGTATTTTGTTAACTCGAACGTTTATCCGCACTTACTTAGTTCTCGCGGGATCCTGCAGGAGTAATCAGGTTTTTCTATGTTTAGTTCCTATATCTGGTCATTCCATCATGCGAACCCGATTTTAACGCCAAAGTTTGAGGCCAATACGCCCGTTTCTCTTGACATTCCTGTAGACATTACACTCCCAGTCATTATATCAAGTGCAAAGGCTTTTCTTTGACATTTAGGTTTGGCCTTGTGAGCATCTTCCTATGTGTTCGGTCCTGAAAGTCGCCGATTGAGAGTTGCCTTGGTCTGCGTTAAGTTGGAGTTCATATAGATTAGGCTTCTTTAGTGCGCTCTTCATTGTGATCGCTAGGTGGTATAAGATGCTGAGATGGAAGAAATACGAGTCCATTCCAAAAGTGGGAATGGATAGGGAACGAAAGACTCTCCTGCTTCGGAGTCAGACATCGAAGGAAGGTGAAGGACGCGAAAAAAAAACTTCACTCTTGTAAAGAAATCCTGAGTGATAGCGCGAGGCTCAAGGGCAGGTTGTATCTCCCGGAGAAAGATACTCAGGCAGGCAAACTGGAGCGACGTGTAATCGCTAATGTGCGATTCTTGTAGACTCTTCTTCTTCTCAATAGCGTTAGTCCCGCGCAGTCGCACGGTCCGCTGTCCAATTCGAACTAGCTTCTTTAGCCGAGGCCGTTCTCTCTCGGTAGCCCTCGCATACTGACCACACAGAACTCGGGCGAGGGGTTGCGCGCGCACTTCCGGGTGACGTCCTAGCTTTATCACTGATTCTTTGACAACTTTTAGACATGGTTGGTGTGACTGGGGTATTCATCAGCCGGCCTGTCAACCTGGGCCTGACGCTGGTACTAGAACCATTTTTGCAATTTTTGCAGGGGCATGGTTTCGAACCTCGGCAGGGATCGAACTCGCGGTTTTTCAGAGGTGCAGACATGAGTCTAACCTCTTAACACTCGGATATCCTCCTGAAAGTGCTATTCCTTGACGCGTCCATAATTTCACATAGGGCAGTTGCGTTAATCGGACCACTCCAGGGTGAGTTAATAAGTCAGTAGTGGGTGATTTTGGCACGATTGTAAAGATTATTGATTGAATAGAATTTGTTTTCTTTTTTAATGTGATGAGAGAAAAGTAATCCATGTAATCAAAAACAAAAGCGTGCAATGTTGAAAAGTACTGAGAATTCCAATCGATTAGTTAGCTTATCCCAGCTCATTGATAAGCCTAGGAGGGGGGGGGGTACCGAGTAGTAAAGGTTCCTTTTTGAAGGTGGAGAAACCAACTGTAATTGCTATTCGATTGTTATGCTACATATAGTTTTGTTTAGCTGCCTTTACCGAATGATCGTGATTGGGACTTTTAAACTGGATTAATCAGTTTGATGTTGGATTTGATCGTTTTTGTTGGTTCTGGATTTGTTATGGTGTGATATTCAGGATGCGCGAGAAAAGGACGTGGCTGAGATCAGGCGTCAACAGCCGAACAAAGTTCCCGTGATCATCGAAAGGTTTGATGGAGAACGCAGTCTGCCGTTGATGGATCGTTGTAAATTCCTGGTACCCGATCATATCACTGTTGCCGAACTCATGCATATCATCAGACGCAGGTACATTTGGAAGTTGAAAGGTCGTGCTTCACAGCGCTTCTGAAAACTACTTATATGTAAGATCGATTCCATTGATCACCTTTACGAATCCCTTTAGAAAGCTGAAATGAGCTGTTGTCTCTGTGTGACTGGGTGGTGTTCGGACCCAAGAATTAGTTAATTACTCGTCCTCAAGTGATACGAAGTTCTCTTAGGTCAGCAGGTAAGGCATGATTGTGTAAGCGGTTCGACATGAGAGCAGCGAAACACTATCAGCATGACGGACCACGAAGTTCGTCACTGTTTGCTAATTTCAACTTCAGCTTCCTCATATATCAGCGGTTTTTCTAGAACCAAGAATATTAAGTGATGCATAATATTGCCGACTTTTATGTGCGTTCTATTTTTTTGAAAAGGTTGGAGTTTGTTTATTAATTTTTCATGAAAAATACTTGCCCTCTTTCACACAAATACTCAAACATAATCTCATATTCGCCATATATACTCTACCACGTCGAGAAAGGTTGGAAGTCGGCAGGGTCATTCCCGCGATCTCAACGAACTTTTGCCGACGGAGCATTCAGCGACAGCCAAGTTGAAAGATGTTGAAGAGGTTCAAACGCCATATTCACCGACCGAAGCTCCTACAGACTACCACTCCATCAGTCGTTGAAAAAGTGGTAAACGAACAAAATTTACGGCGAGCTGGATGACTTGATGGCCGGTGTAGAGTGTGGATCGTCACCAAGAATCGTGACTTCTTCACCCGTGGAATCGACTGACTGCCAAGCAAATGGAAAGCATCCTTCAAAGATTGTGGCTGCGCTCCGATATAATTATTCAAACATGTTTTTGCTGAATTTTTAAAATCGTTTCTCACTGAATTAAACTTGAAAAAAAGCCGCAATAATTGTGCGTCAACCCCNNTACTTGATGAAAGGAAGTTGAAAATTGTTGTAGTCATACGTTCAAGAGCTTGTTCAGCTAGCCCAGCGTATAGATTACACGTTGAAGTTCATGGTATACGAAGTTTGAATAAAGAAGGATGTCATGGTGTGTACAGGGTCATATAAAAGAAGTGATTTTTGTGCGGGCTGAGAAAAGAGGTTTGATAATGGACGATAGCATATAAGGATTGTTTTTCTGTGTTATCTAATTAATGCTTGGATTAACAACGCATACACGTGGTTGATAAGTGACGGTAGTGATAGGATTCTCGTCTCGGGTGGATTCCATTCCTAGTATTATTCAATCAAGTCACGACTGCCAAGACAAACATATGCCCCAGGTTGGTTCTTTTTTTCTGGACTGAAACGATCCTACTTACCAAGTATGAAGCGTTTCTTCATCTTATATAACGTGTAGGACAGTTCTTCTAAAGTTCAATTTGGGTTTCTAGATGTTGTTAGAAGTTAATGTCTCTAATATTGTGGGATAAAATTAGGTGCTGACATATGACGGGAGCCACGCGGTGGCGCAACGCTTTGTTCTTGTGTGCTTTCTCGGCCGTAACGCGCAGGACCACTATTTTTAGGATTAAACCCTGAAGGGCGAGAAAGTGCGAGGTATTTACAACTCTCACTTCTCCCTGAAGACGTTCGCTTTTATCATTAGTCACAGGCACTTACTCGCAGCAACGTGCGGCTCCTTGAAATGCAGTGGTATCACCGTTTCTCAGAGATCATAACCGAACACAGCACCGCGCTGCCGCATGGCCCCTGCAACTGTTATACTTTCGTATTCTATGATTGTCGTCATTAGCTTCTGTGCGTATAATACGGGGGTAGAAGAGTGGGCAAAGGTGTCTTTACATGTAGCTCTTCAACGTCTTGCAAAAGGTGTTTACCCATTGTAGCTCATTAGCTAGTTTTTCGGGCGCAGGGAGATTGCCCCCCCCCCCCCCCAGTATGAAGGATCTCGCCGTCTTCAGAATATGTCATCTGTCATCGTCGTCGAGCTCAAGGAGGCCTACAGTAACTGCTTCAGCCTGAAGCTCTGACATAATTTCTTGTGTCGATCACTGTTGAATAGTTTCCTAGAGACATTAGCTCTAACTATGTAAACCCCCTCTCAACAAGCATTTCACAAAGCGTTATAATGATTCACGTTCAGTCAAGGTCCCCGTTGAGCTTGACCCACGCATCTTATCCGTGGCAGATTTTTTGTTGTCTTCTACGCAGAAGAATTGGGAATTTTTTTCATTAAAAGGATGTGATCTTCAACTTTACGTTGGGAGCATTTGACATGAAATTAGCAAAGTATGACTAATCAAATGTGGAGACAAAATGTTTTTTTTTCATTGGCCTTCCTGTAAAGTAGGTATACATATTTCGTCTTTCTCTGCATGCCTCATTTATTTCTTTATTTAGATTGCAATTACATCCGGAACAA